TGTCCATACATTTATTTCTAATTACTAAAAGGTAATTTACCTTAAAATATTATCACTTAAAAATACAAGAAGAAAAATACTGAAGTCTAATATATTTTTTCTTAGTTCTGTGTATATCTGAGAGAATCTGTGATGACAGACACTATATAAAAATCGTGTTGTTCAGTTGAAATAGGTAGGAACTGCTTACTATTTGGCATTACATCTATTAGAAAAGTACACATTGAAATTTCCCAGAAAGTGTGATGTTCTCAGAGTTTTGCTAGCCATTAAAAATGCTGAAATACATCGGATATGCACAACTAGTCTCTATGTTTTGGGCCTTCATATATATAATTTTTATTTCTCTGAAATGCTGCACATCAGATCCTCTGCTGGGTGGAGTCTTTGAGAGAACCTCTATAATAGGCTCTCCTCCTGTTTCCTCTCTTCCACCACTTCTGGTGTCTTTCCTGTTTTCCCTTCTGAATGAGAATTAAGCATCCTCCCGAGGGTCCTCCTTGTTGTTTAGTTTCTTTAGGTCTGTAGATGTTTGTATGGATATCCAGTTTTAAAAGGGCTATTATACACTTACATGTGAGTGTATACCATGCTTGTCTTTCTGCTTCTGGGTTGGCTCACTCAGCATCATCTTTTCTAGTTCCATCCATTTGCCTACAAATTTCATGATTTCCTTGTTTTTACTAACTGAGTAGTATTACATTGTGTAAATGTACAATTTCTGTATCCTTTCTTTGGTTGAGGGGCATCTGGGTAGTTTCCAGATTACAAAGAAAGCTGCTTACAAACAGAGTTGAGCAAATGTCCTTCTTGTAGGGGTGGAGTATCTTATATAAGCCCAGGAGTGTTATAACTGATGCTGAGACTCACAGCCAAACTTTGGGCAAGAGTTCAGGGAGTCTTATAAAAGAAGGGGAGATAGAAGGTCCAGGAGGGGACAGGGGCTCCACAAGGAGACCAACAAAGCCAAAAACTCTGAGTCCAGGGGAGCCTGTAGAGACTCTTGCACTAACTATACATGGAGAAGACCCAGCCCCCCTGCACAGAGGTAGCCAACAGGCAGCTCAGTCTCCATACAAGTTTCCAAGTAAGGGGAGCAGGGGCTGTCTCTGAAATGAACTCAGTTACCTGCTCTTTGATCACTTCCCCCTGGCAGGACAGCCTTACTAGGCCACACATTGAGAGGACCCAGGCAGTCCTGATGAGACTTGATAGGCTAGGGTCAGATAGCAAGGGATGAGAACTTCCCTTTTCAGTAGACTAGGGAAGGGAGAGGGGGAAGAGGGAGAAGGATGGAAACAGGAGGAGATGAGGGAGGGGCCTACAATCAGGATATAAAGTGAATAAATTGTAAAAAAAAAAAAAAAAAGTAATCCTTAGCAGAATGTATATTGTTTTTTCAGACTTCTGTTTATAAAGTCTTTCACACAGAAGAACCACTTGACAAAGTAAAATCTTTTGGAAATGTCTGAGTATCTCTGAATATGAACAATAGGATTAATAGTATGGTTGTTGTTTGCAACAGCTTCTCAATTCATCCCAGTGTGGGGATTCTTCACATTAAAACCAGTGCAGTTTTATAGTTTATGAAGTTCTTTTCCACAGACACAAGAGTGGAAGACTTGTAGACAGGGCATTTGCTATTTCTGCTTGCCCACCTTTGCTAGGGCCTTACTGTCTGTGCAGAGTACAGAGAGAAAACAGGGCTCCATCTCTACATTCAAGTTACCTGGAGGAATTGAGCCAGTGCAGCAAATACATAATTATAAAAAGAGGATTTATTAGATTGCCTTATACAAGCACGGGCTAAATAATCTACAGGCTAGGGATCCAGAAAATTAATAGCTGATGAATCCAAGAAACTTAAAGCTTTAAAACGAGGAGAGCAGCGGTAATCCCAGTTCCAAGTAGAAGCCTTAGGAGCAATCCTTGTGGTAGACGGTGAAAGTCTGAAGACTCTGGAGCTGAATGTCTACAGGTGACAGTAGCAGCCACATGGGAACTCATCTTAGAAACCAGAAGCCACACGTACTTCTGGCTTCTTTCTGCCAATTTTGTTTAGCTGAGTCTCAAGCTTGCTAATCATAAATGCCAGCATCCAGGGTGGGTCTTTCCCTTCAGTTGTTCACATGTCACTCACTCCACCCTGATCTGCAAGTCATGTTTCAGTCCACTTGAGTTGGCAGTCAAGTTTAATCATCACCTTGGCCCTCTCCTGAAATCAATGTGGAACAGACATGTTGTCTGCCTTGGCAGCTCACTCCTGCTCCAGAGGTGACATTCAGCCAATGGCCACCTTGATGGGTGTGTCCACTGGACTTGGACAAATCAAAGTGGCTGAGCAGAGTTTGGGATTCGTTCCTTCAGAGTCAGTTTGAGTACAGACTCTACTTCTTGACAAAGAAAAAAGCTACTACAGGGCATGCGGTACACGCCTGCAGTCCCAGCATTTTGAAAGTGGAAGCAGGAGAGGACTCAGGAGTTTCAAACTAGTCTTAACTAGGTAGTGACTAGAGTCCGGCCACCCCAGTAGTCCCTCAACTGAGGAATGGATACAGAAATTGTGGTACATTTATACAATGGAATACTGCTCAGCTATTAAAAACAAGGAAATCATGAAATTTGCAAGCAAATGATGAAAACTAGAAAAGATCATCCTGAGTGAGGTATCCCAGAAGCAGAAAAACATACACGGTATGTACTCATTTATATAAGTGGATATTAGACATATTATATAGGATAAACATACTAAAATCTGTACACCTAAAGAAGCTAAGCAAGAAGGAGGACCTTGGGTAAGATGATCAATCCTCATTCAGAACAGGAGAGATATCGGAAGAGGGTGAAAACAGGGGACAGGAGCCTACTACAGAGGGCCTCTGAAAGGCTCTACCCAGCAAGGTATCAAAGCAGATGCTGAATCACATAGCCAAACATTGGGCAGAGTGCAGGGAATCTTATGAAAGTAGGGGAAGATAGAAAGATCAGGAGGGAACAGGAGCTCCACAAGGAGAGCAACAGAATGAAAAAATCTGGGCACAGGTGGACTGATACTCCAACCAAGAACTATTCATGGCGATAACCTAGAACCCTTGCACAGATGTAGCCCAAGGCAGCTCAGTGTCCAAGTGAGATCCCGAGTAATGGGAATGGGGGCTGTCTCTGACATGAACTCAATGGCTGGCTCTTTGATCACCAAACCCTGATGGAGGAGCAGCCTTACCAGGCCACAGGGGTAGATAATTCAGCCAGTCCTGATGAGACCTGATAGGCTAGGGTCAGATGAAAAGGAAGGAGGACCTCCCCTCTCAGTGGATTTGGGAGGGGCATGGGAGGAGATGAAGGAGAGAAATTTGGATTGGGAGGGAATGAGGGAAGGGGCTACAGCTGGGATACAAAGTAAATAAACTGTAATTTATAAAACAATAAATACATTTTAAAAATGTTAACAATTAGACTCCCTACTCCTTTTTTTCTAACTATTTTCCAATATTTTTTAGCATTCTTTGTCAATAGCCACCCCTTAACTTTTTAATGTGCTCACACTCATCATGTTTTTAACTTAGGTGGAATAGGTTTTGACTGTTTACGCCCCATAACACAAGTGATCGTAGCATTTCTGCTCTTCCCTATCTACTCATAAAGGAATTGAGCCTTATAGAGGTTAAGTGATTTGCCTTAATTACTGTGATGCAGAAAACTCATCCAGACACTATGTCTTAGACTTTAAGAGCTATTTTCTCACAGCAGGCTGCTTTCCTAGATTTTAGTAACCTATGCTGATAGGCAGCTGTCCTCCCTTTCTCTTCTGCTGCTTTACAGGACTTGCTCCCATTTTCCATTACAATGATTGCCTACTTGATGTCAAATTTGGTCTTGCATTCCAGATTATTAAGCACCTTGTAAGATAAAGATCTTATTGTAGTTATCACAGTTTCTCAAACATGCAGCAGAATGCATGGGTGCACAGTCAGGACCAATAAAGACTTTAATAACTGAATACAACAGCCCATCAATTACTCAGTTAACTAAACACACCAAAATGAGTGTGAAATTGTAGCTAAAATTTGAAATGATTTCTCAAAGTAACACAACACCTATATTCTTTGCCATCACATTTTTTTAACATTTTATATAATTTACCTTGAACATGCAAAGGCAAACATATAGTTAATTGCATTATTTAACAGACATTTAATACATATCGGTTATATGCCGTCTTTTAATTATAGAAATAAGTATGATGTTAAGGGGAGAAAACTGGGTGTGGAAATGATCCAAAATATTATATGCATGTATGAATATTAAGTAACATGTTAAAAAATAAGTGTGTTTTAAGCTTCAAATGAACAAATAAATAAGAATTCGGTTTTTTTCCTTAATGAAATCTCACACTGAGTGACGAGAGGAATTATCCCACAGCTCAGCTACTGGAGCTCTGAGCAAGGAGCAATGATAATCTAAAGGTTCATGAGAGGGTCAGGTCACAGCAGATACAGAAGCCAAGGACCTGGCATGGAAATGCAGCTCTGGGCAGGGCAATAGCCAGAGCCCCGCTTCAAGTGATATGAGAACAGAGCATCCTTTGCCTTCCAGAATGATGTAAGATTTGAAAATAAAAAGAAAACCAAAGATTACCTTTACTCTCAGTGATTAATCTTTTTAAAGGCTTAAGTAGATTTGAAGATTTAATGTGAATTGACTTAAGTAGATTTGAAATTAGCTATATATGCTACTTAAAATGAGGCATTCAACTCTAGTTTGAAAGCACAATACATTAAAGCACAAAGATGGCAATTATCATGGGTGTTTTTCTTATGCATTGGAGTACAGTAAAATAGAAATAAAGATACATAACATGTGTTTATAAGGCCATGTATATGTGCAATTTATGAACTTATGGATAAAGAGAATACAAATTGGTATGATTTTGATTCTTTAAAACCCGCACATATGTAGAAGAAAGGTTTGACTACAGAATGTTTGGCTCTCTGTTGCAGACAACTACTACGGGACCCCAAAGCCTCCAGCTGAACCAGCACCCTTATTATTAAATGTAACAGACCAGATACTTCCGGGAGCTACTCCAAGTGCTGAAGGAAAACGGAAGAGAAATAAATCAGTGAGCAACATGGAGAAAGCAAGTATAGAGCCTCCCGAGGAAGAGGAGGAGGAAAGGCCAGTGGTCAATGGAAATGGCGTTGTCATCACACCAGGTCAGTTTTTATTTTTTTAATATTCTCAATAACATTATCAGGGTTTTTTTTTTTTGTTACATTCTAAGATTTTTAAGATTTGTGTGTGTGTGTGTGTGTGTTTGTATTTGATGCATGCATGCTTTCGTGCTTGCAAGTGTGTGTGTGTGTGTGTGTGTGTGTGTG